CAGTAAAACTTCTGAACTCACCAGTAGCCTTGCCAGACTCTTTAACTGATAAAAACTGCATGGGATCCAGCTGGTGGCGAACACTGTCTCAAAAGCAGTATCACAAGTACTCATTAATGTTCAAGTGCTTGATGCTGTCTGGTTCGTGATTTCAAAAAGTTTCAGTTACCTTAATATGTAATTTTGTATTCCAGTCATAAAACTAACAGAAATGAACTTTATTCTTTAACTGTTGAAAAGAAGTCGAATATTTTTGGACAGACTAAAAAGAATATCATTTATTTAAATGGGGACGGTGGTAAAAAAAGAACATGATTTATTGGGAATAATCATTAAGCAAAGGATGAGAAAGAGGAGACGGATAAAAATATCAAGCAATTTTTTTTCTGTACACGATCACCGGGAGCACATTCGGGGGTTCCTCGGTGTCTTAATTCCTTTGAGAACTGTGCACCGAAACTGCTAATTACCTGCAAAATGACTTATTAAATCACAAATAAAATAAAATGTAAAATCATTTCAATGACACTGCTGAAAGGATAGGAAGCACTAATATCAAACTATCAGGCTGTCTTTACACTCTTTGAAGCTGAACTCCGGCTGTCCTTCACACTCCTCTGCTTCAAATTTTCTTAAATTTGGGAGGATTTGTAGGTACTTTACAAACTAAAACTACTGTAAATTTGCTAACAAATTGGAGTCGTTCGTTAAACGGTATCTTCTCAGTTTACTTGTGCTCCAGTCAGTGACATCCTTTACCATTTTAACTATGTTTCTTCATCGTACAACAAGTAAGCAATAATCGCTATGTATAAAAAATATTAGTCTGTAAAGTGATAATAAATGATCATTCTAAAGGAAAAACAACGAGAAGATTATTTACCGTTAAGCGATATTATAAAAATATTAATAAACTGGGTCCGTTGAAATGATTAGTTTAATGCTGAAAAAGTTTTATAAAGAAGCTGGCGTTTTTAATCCAGATAGCGATACATCGGAACGATAGATTTTGCAAACTTGTAACCGCCGGAGATTTTTTT